GCGATTACACTGAAGATTCTTCATTTGACTTCACCAGGAAATTTCAGATATATAGCAGAATCAATATTCAATACATAAATGGATGGTAGACTTATAACTATGTAAGATAGATTGTGTCGAGAAAGATTGTCTGGTACAACAAAGTGAAGACTTAGATGACTTCAGGCCAGCGAAAAGCACACACACACACACACACACAGAGAGAGAGAGAGAGAGTATATAAACCTAAAAAGCCAGACTGACCTACACGGATCGTTAGGTTTATTTACTTCTTTTGCTCTACTTAGCGTATTGAGCACTTTGTTTAGCTATTTTACTTTACTCATGTCGGAGGTTTTTTTTTCTTTGGACTTTGAACTTAGATTCTAGACGATTATTTTCGTCGGAAGTATATATTCTTAGTTCTTTCTTTTTTCCCCCTTTTTTCCCCTTGGATATGAGTTTGTTCATTTATAAGCTAAAACAACTAAGGTTTTGCCAGACGTGTGTAGCTGATTACATTTATAAGGTTATTAGTGTTATTCGAACACAGTGGCGTTCCACATCACGTGACGTCCGCGTCTCGCGACGGACGCTACTTGCTAACAAACAGTAATTTTAATTTATTTGTAACAAACAGTTATTTTTGATGAAAGATTGAGGTCAATCTGAAATATCAAATATATATATAAATAAATACTTTCATAAAAAACATTATTATTATTTTTAATTTGCGACGTTTTCTATATATATATATATATATATATATATATATATATATGTCTATATATATATAATGTCTGCGTACAAGTGTATGTAGTTGATACTTAGAAGAAACTTCTGGTGTAAATGCACTGCATATATCTGAGAATATCTCGCAATTCAGTTATATGTTTTAAACTCTTTAAGGAGGATTTATTTTTACTTTTAACTGAAAGTATGGATTGTTTTATGTATGTATCTAAAGTTATCTAAAGTTATAGGAATGTATTATTTTCCAAACATGGTCAACTCATTGTTTCATTGTCCATATTTGATATTATTCAAATACTTTCATAAAACAATCCATGCATTCATTTTAAAGTAAAAGCAAAATCAACCTTGATAATGATTAAAAGTGTAGCCGAAAGCACTCGGACATACAAAACTTTTGGACAATTTCTATATAATTTACATACAGAAAAGAAGAAAATTATAAGAACACAAGAAAAATTAAATAAAAACCCTAATGAAACTTAATGAAACTTACACAAAAACACACAAACACACACACGCACACACACACACACACACACACGTATATATATATATGTGAATATATATAATATTTCAATTATATATACATTCGGTTTCATTGACTTTTGAATATATCACTAATCGGTTTTAAATCATTAAACTAGTTGCTCACAAAGTAATAGATTTGTCGCTAATATGAAACTAATGCACCGAAAATATATAATCAATATGTTTATCGTTGCATCTGTGCCTTTTACACATTTTCTTTTGCGCATCCGAAGTATAAAGAGGTTCATAAGAATATCATTTACCTAAGCAAATATACAATTAATATGTTCCTCTCTTTCGTGTGCAACGAAAAATCTTCATTTAAGTCATGCAGTTATCTAGATGAATTTCTGTCACGAGATAATTCCGAATAGAGATCCGCTTTTACGTTCTTTTGAATTTGGTTAAACTTTAAGAGCTACCTTGTAATAAAATCAGTTTTTTCATGATATCCACTTAGTTAACATTGCATATACATTTCTTATATCAATGATAATACCGTGTGATATCTTTCATAAAGTACACAATTACTGTTGATCGTGACAAACTTTTGCAATCTCAAGTGATAATTGAAATTAATTAGCAAGAGAGGACATATGCTATCCGTTGAGATTATATATATATATATATATATATATATATATATATATATATATATATATATATATATATATTATGGAGTGATTTCACAGTGGAGGCTTGTATTTGTACTAAGTCGGTCCTAAAACAGGTTCGACGTACAAAACGTTAAGAACTTGATATAATAGGTAATGACGCAGAGAAATCTAGTTGTGGTCGCTGATACTTTAGTATCAGACTAACAGTCGTCCGGCATCGACTGACTGAGCGACCCTCGTTACTCTTACTACTCCTACTTATTATAGGTGGAAGAGTCTGTTAACTATAGAAATGGTGTGTTCCACTATAACAATATATATATATATATATATATATATATATATATATATATATATATATATATATATATATATATATGTAAGAGCAGAATTTCATCTTTATCAAATATCTAATTCACGTAGTTTTAACAATTTTAAAAAATCATTTAACCCCAGGCAAAGCGAGATGCCTCTACTACGCAGGGGTTACAGAGAATGAAGCTAGGGAAAGAAAAACTGGATATAAGAGTGGGTGGTGGGTGCTGATGAAAGGGTAAAAGCTGAACGTGGTTGAAGAAGGTAGAAGATGGCGATTGACGATGCATTTAAATTTTTGATGATTGTAGTTATCAGGGAAGCAAGGAAATAGAAGTGAGTTCCACAGGCGGGAAGTTCAAGAGAAGAAACTTTTGGAGTAGAAGTGGCGGTTACATTTAACTAATTCGACAGTAAAAGAGTGGGACCTAGGTGCCAATCTAGTAGCACACTTAAACTCACGTAGTCTGGGCACCAGGAAAAAAAAACTCGTCAGAGCAGTTGCCAAGAAAATATTTGTAGACAGAGGGAAGCCGCGTCACGTCGGTAAGAAATAGTCTGAAGTCGAGATGCCAAGTCACGATCGATTACATTGCAGATTTTGTCAAGAATCTCAAGATGAGTAGCAGGAGTACCTGACCACATATGGCAAAAGTATTCAATGCACGAATAAATGACAGATTTGTAAATGTACAAGATATACTTTGACGTGAAAACCTTCTGGCATGACACAGTGACCCAACTTTCCTTGCAGTAGATGCAGCTATTGATCCAATGTACTCGATTCACTTCAAGTCAGTTGAAAATGTGAGGCCAAGAAGGCGCAGTGTGTTGTTCTCTATGAATCTTGCATCAGCCATGATCATGGCAGACACGAAAGATTCTCTGTGGTGAGAGTAATTTCATTTTGGAGGCATTAAAATTTACGAGCCAGTTTCTACCACAGTTATCCACAGAGTGGAGATTCTTTTCAAGAACAACGGCCAGGTTAACTTTCCCACCTCAACCAAGCATCAGAATTCTTTGCAAAGGACTTCTCGGCTTGGCTGAAAACTTTTCAACGCATCGTCATTCGCACTTTTCCAGATATTCATGTATCTTGTGAACTACTTCAATCACTCACGAGCTTGTGATCCTTAGTCATGATTAATTAATTGTGAACATGCCATTTTCGTTTATGAAGGATTTCATCACGATACTTCTGTTAAACTTAGAGAGTTATTAAACACACTCCATGCTCAAAGTAGAATCGAATTGTGTTATAAAAAACTCGGAGAATTCCAGTCAGATATATTTAATCATTTCTAAGATACAACTAATCAGAGCTTAATTTGACAATTGGGCAATTTTGCTGTTACACGATTTGGACAATTTTGCTGTTACAACTGGTATATGTATTCGCAAGTAAAGCTTAAAAAATGCATAATGCAACAAACAATTTCGGAGCATATTTTATCTTGAAGCCTTGCCGAGTGACAAATTTCAGAGAAATTCCATAGGAGGTTAGGGCTTTTTTTCTGTTTTTACGAATTCATATTTCTTTTCGATAGTCATTTTTATATCAATCCGTGTATATAAACATACACATAGATATTATAGTCTAACTATTATGTGTGTGAATAATAATAAACATGCATAATGCCTTATAAGGACATTATTAAATGAATTTAAATATAAGATATACTATAAAATTCCCTAAACTACATTAGAACATTTTTATGCATAAATATCTCGAATGTTTGGCATGTAATTGATAGTATGTATAATAAAAAATATAATTATTATTTTGAAAAAATACCTAAAAATAATGAAACTAAGTGAACAAAAAGGAGACATCCATACTTTATGTTATTCTTAATAAATATGAATCTCTTTAAGAAGACGATTGCTATTTGTTTTGTGTTTTTTTGAATGACTTTCACCTTTAATATGGTAAATATTAAAATTGGTATAAATTGTCAGCCAGTGGATATTATTACTTATTATTACGTCGAAAGACCTTTATGGTGATAGGAAAAAGCAAACTTATTTCCTGCAGGGCAAGGTTGTTTTTTTTTGTTAAAGTGATGTTTCAAATGAAAGCTAAGTTATAGTCTTGGAACAATGATAGAACTGTGTCATCCTGGTATTATTAATTTACTGATCGTTCTTAAAGTCTGTTGTTTGATAATGTAACATTTATCATTGAATTTCCAGCTGAATTTCGTTAAGAAAATATCGGAATTTTAAAAATTTGTTTCAATAATATCATATTAATACTTTTAATACTTTGAAAGTTGTGTCATTTTTTCTGTTGTTCTTTGTATCAGTTACTGCACTTTTTAACAAATTCTTAGCACCTTCCCATTTATTAGTTAATTTCTTATTACGTTTGATCGAAGTTATATTGTATAATATGAATAATAATAATTATTATTAAGTAAAAGGTATTTCAAATATAAATTGAAATATGTGTAAAAAATAATGAAATTGATAATATTGTTTCATCATCATTTTGTATCATGAACTGCTTTTAAAAGGGATCCGACGTGTTTATGGGTGAGCTGGCTAACATCAAATAAAAGTGGAAAGATGTTTTTGTAAGTAATTAACAAGAAACAATATGGCGAAGAGTTTTATAGGATTTAGTAGTTAAAAAAAAGAAAATGCAGATTTGAGCGGTTTTAAATAGTTGAACAACTTTGTTAACGAAGCCAAGTAATGTAAATGTGGGGAAGATATCTGGATTGGGTGTGAAAAAGTAAATTTGAAATGTGTAACCTTTCAATTTAGGTGGCAAACTGAAGCCCCTAAATATTTTGCACTTACGGCCACATAATGTTGAAACACCGGTTTCCGTACGATCACCGAAGTTAAGTACCGTCAAGCATGATCAGTACCTAGATGGGTAACCACTTGGGAATACCAGGTGTTGTAAGGTTCGATATGCGGGTTGTGTAATGGATAATGGCTTGGAATTGTTAATCGGAGAACCGAGTTCCAATTCCAGTTAGGTTTATTATATTCACTTACACGCAAATACCCTTGGAAAAGGTATGAATCCAGCTTTTCTCCCTCCAGCTATGGATTAATTAGTAAGAATTTTATCACCAAAACCATTATTATCTCAGAACAATAATATTAATAATAATAGTAATAGTAATAACATTGAGTGCAAAATATTTAGATTTCGACATTAAATAACCCATAGATGTTGATATACCGTCAAACAAAAACAACAATAAACCTTTTGCTTCAGGCCAAACGGTCAGCGTATAATTTTTGTACTAATTTCAAATGTTATTACGGTTCTCAAGACATTGCTAATTATCTGTCTTTTTGGCTGAGAACTCTGTACTGAAGATAGCCTTTAAGATTTTCATTTAAATAATCTCGCAATGCTTTAAATATCACAACAAAGTCGATTATTTTTTTGCTGTAGCTTCCAAACTGAAAAGACAATTTTTCCGAATCATCGTCTCAGTGTTTTCATTTAACATTCATTCAAGCGGTACAGAGTGGACGTCCATCTAAGAGCCTCGTTTCAAGTTAAGATTAACATGTTTGTATCTATCACGATATCCATTCAGACATACACAGTGAAAAGTCTTTCATTCTAAATTGCAAATTTTCAACGTTAAGTGTTTTCTGACTAAACACTTTTTTATTTCCTACATTTTGCACATCTCTATGGAGAGTTAAATCTTTCCATGTACAACATTTTTCATTGTGAAGCCTGGTTTGCCTTTTTTAAGCACCTGTTCTTTTCTGCATTTCCTACAGTACTTTCAAGAGTTTAGTCATTTTTTCCATAATTTAAACAATCTTGTTCAATGTTAAGTCTTTTCTTTCTATTTAAACAGCTCCTCAAGTCTGCATATTATAAAGTTTCCTTCAAGTGAAGTCATTGCTTCTACAATGTAAACAGTCTTTTTTCAATGTTAAGAATTTTTACCTATTGAAACACATTTTCGTTTCTATATTTCCTACAGCTCTTTCAAGTTTTGTCATTTTTTTCTACAATTTAAATCGTTTTTCCCAAGGCTAAATATTTCCCAACTAGCTGGATTTAGAATAATAATAAGAAGGATAGAAAAAGAAATTTCAATCAGAATTATTTTATTTATCACCTTTTTTCTATACGTATTGAGCAGAAGCTCTATACTTACTAAATGCTACAGAAAGAGGCCTTTGTTCTTTTAACAAATTGCAATTCATTTTTGCCTCTGTTACTTCGTTAATGACATGGCATCGATTAAGGATGGCTTCCTAAAGTAAACTCAACAGCCAGAAAGGTGAGTTCCCCCGCTGGCATCAAAAGCCACGTATTTATCATTAAGGCATGCAGGAAATCTCCTGTGGTTTGACTTCAAGTGAGATGCGTTCCGCCTGGTCGACTTGCTACGCTATACATGAATGAATATATCTTCGAAAATTTGGAAGCAACTGGTCAGTTGCTCACCTGTGCTGTGACACAAAGATTTTACTCAAAGATCATAGCACTGACAATGCTGCTGCTGGTCGTCATCATAAAATAGGTGCATCAAAATATCTAATGTTTATTCTTGATTAAAACACAGGAGCGGATATTTATTTATATAGATTCTATGTTGAGTCAATGTGATTTCAGGAACGATCCAAAAAATAAAGAAAATACATCCATTCCAGTACTTGTAAAATACCTGATACTCCAAGGCAATAAGAAATTGAAAATAATTGCTGGATTAGAAAAAGTTTAACTAAGAACCTTGAATTATTCATAATTCATTCGAAGCCAGAGACATTAGTTGTATTTTCAAAATAACTGTCACTCATTGCGACTGGATATATGTTATTCACATCTTTTAGATAATACAAGTCAACAATGATTGATTTTATTTCATCAGTCACTATTATCTTTATTGCAAAGAAATTCTTGCCAGATTCTTAACAATTCTTTTCCCAATCAAGAATGTAGTGTGTCTGTCTTCAATACACTTAAAGAATAAGCAGCCATTATTTTAAACTTGTGTCGACTAAAAATAGCAAACGAACAAAGATTATCAAAGTAACTTTTCATTAAGGAAGACTTATTCATGTCTGCTGTATTCTGAGAACTGGAAATAATGATTTTGTCTGGTTATGTTTTAAAGATGAATAGCCTGTTTTTTTTCCGTTTTTTATCGTAATATAATTAATATTATACAATATATATTACAAGAGTTGCCATCGTCTATAGGTTACTCATTAAATTCCTAGAAGGAAAAAAGTATTAAAGAAACAAGAATAAATGCAACTGAATAACAGAAATAACACGTGAATTAGCACTGATTGCTTTTAAATTCATTATCCGTCAGAGATTTGTAAGATGGATTCGTGTCGTAGACGCTTATAAATTTAAGATATTTGTATAAATCCATCATTTCTATCATTACAATAGTTACATATTGTAAGAACTTAATTTGATATTTATTAGCTTTTACCGAATTCTGAAGAATATTCTAGTAGATTAATGATGTAATTTAGCAATCTCATTGAGGGAAGCTGCGAAAATTAGTAAACACCTTAGAGGTTTAATTATGATTAGTTAAAAAGCTAATCTATCTATCTATCTATCTATCTATCTATCTATCTATCTATCTATCTATCTATGTCTCTTCTATTTATCTATCTATCTATCTATCTATCTATCTATCTATCTATCTATCTATCTATCCACAGTGTGCAATCTGTAAATTATCGCCATTTTATCTTTTTAATTTTACGCATGCGGATTCTATGTTTTTGATTTTGTCGTTTGCACAGTATAGTCGGGTCAGTTGGGCACCATCAGTGAGAAAAAGAATGTCATAATGCAACTCGGAAGACCCTATGTCTGGCAACAAGTCTCTGCACCATGCCCCACAAGCAAGAGAACCCAGTCATGGCTGTCAAACAATTTTTGCGACCACATCACCTAATTCCCCAGACTTTGATTATTAATGGGAGAGAACAACAAAATTCCTTGTAACACTAAAGATAAACTGAAGGCAAGGACTATTTTATCATTCACCAATTTAAACAAAGCAGCTGTCCAGAAGAGTTGCAGGAGATTCCAAAGTCGTCTGGGGGGCCGTGATTTAAGCCAATGATATATTTATTGAATCAATTTACTGTGTAATATTTAAAGATATTTTTGGGTAATTTTGGTAAATATATCTGTTAAAATGAGATGTCAGTGTTATTTTCATTTTTGCGTAGTTTAGAGGATAATTTAACCATAGCACCCTATATGGGTGTTCCATCTATCTATCTATCTATCTATCTATCTATCTATCTATCTATCTATCTATCTATCTATCTGTCTGTCATTTTACTTAGATCTTTATATTCCTTTGTCGTTTGTACAATACCATGTGACAAAATCAAAATATTTACCTGAAAAAGAGGGTGTCACGTTCTTAAATAACCTCGTCTGATGTCGACTCTCGCATGGATGCCATGCATACAATCAAACTCGCTCGGAAATGTCGAATGTATCTTCTGTAAAAAAATCATTTCATCATATCAACGATTAAAAATGGCTTCAAATGAATAAATCATCTACATTTTAAATTTTAGGGTGACGCTACAAAACTTCAAACGAAGAACATCTCTTTCAACAGTAGTAACAAAAAAGAAGAGAAGATAATGATATAATAAAGATTTTAACATTTCACACTCTCAGAAACAAACTGTTTTGGAAGGAAAATCGCATCAGTACTTGAAAGAACAATAACAGTTAGTGGACTTGAAAAACCTAATTTTTTAAAAAAATTACCTAAAGAAAAATATTTTATAAATTTCAACCAACGGCCATACCAACAGTTCGGCCCCTGAATCCTGAATAATTCCTGTTTCACCATCATCACCATTATCATTATCAGACTTATAAAGAAGGGTATTAAATATATGCATTCGAGTTACTGTTATTCTGATGTTAAGTGATACTTAATATGGACAGTGTTTATATGATCTTTACATCAATAATATAATATAGTACTCTTCTGAGTAGTAATTTATGTAATAATTTATTGTTATTATTATTGTCATTATTATTATTTATATGATAATTCTTCTAGTCTCTCATTGGCTTAGTAGTACCTTCGTTACACTCTGCCAATACCTCATAAATAATGTATTATTCTTATCGCGTCGAAAGAGTGGAAAAGATACGACTTGATTGAAAATGAAAGAAAGAAAGATGGGAACATATGTTTAATGGCGGTTTCAGTGAAATGAAAGGAATTTCAAATCTGTTAAATACTACCTACTTCTTAAAATAACGGCCACAATTCATATATGGTGATTTTATAAGCGTAGCATAGATATGACACAAGTCCGAAAGCATGAAGCACCCAGTGAAGACCGAACTCACCCTTTAGTCGTAACTGATGTAGTGAGACAAGCTTGCTAACTATTACACCATCTCGACGCGCCTCAACATTTATATTTATGATTATTATTGAAATATTTTATTAAAGTTGTAATATTTAACCATTTAATATTTAACTATGCGATAGGGAAATTTCTACGAATATTTTATTATCTGAGAACCCTGCATGAGCTTATTTAATCATTAACTTAAGAGTTAAAAATTAAGATTCATCAGAAAATTTAAATAGAAAAATGGTGACATTTTCAAGTGTCTTTCTATTTTTTATTATTATTATTTTATTTCCTTTAATTTCTTGTGTGTACTCATTTCTTTCCGGGTCCCGACCAGAGACCTAAGGTCATAAATGCAATATGATATTTTCCACTGAGCAATTTTGAAAAAAATCATACATATTTTACATAGATAAAGCCTCTCGTAAGGCGTGGTCTGTACTCGTGGGAACAATTTTTTGTATTTTTTAAAGCATGGGCTACCGTGAGTCCCTTCAATGAGTCTATTGGACTATTTTCCAATCAACCAGAGAGCTCCAACTACAACTGTAA